AGAAGCATTCTGGGGCTTTAAGGAATGTCCCACAGTGTAGGAACTGAAGATATTAAGTCTTGAACAGAGAAGATTACGTGAAGACCTAATACAAGAATTCAAAATCCTCAAAAGCCCTGAGAACCCAGTAGATATCTTCAGAATGAACCCAAGGTCACGCATGGAAGCCTCAGGGAAGTGCATTTTAACAGGAAGCACTTAATAGGAGAACAGGAAGCACTTCTTTAACTTAAATGTTGTGGGGTCTGGAACAAGCTGCCCATCCATTTTGTTGAAGTGGATATCTTAGACTCTTCAAGCAATGTCTGAATAGGATCCTTAAATCAAGTAATCACTAACCACCAAATAGATTAGATGGGTTGAGTGGCACTCTCTCATAAGCTCCTTGCTTATGAACTTAAGGTCTTCATCTGTGATGGTAATAGCACCTACCGATACCTGAACATGTCTCAGCTTAGACTTAACATTGCTTCTTCTGAATTGCTTTGTTTCTATTGTTTCGAATACCGGTGTTTGATTTGACATATTCCCTTGGCCTTATACATCAAGAGCTGAATGTGCTAAACGTTTAAAATTGTCCGAGTTGAGTGAAGTCACTAGATTCACATCTGACAATGTGAGTCCCACTTAGAAGCCTTCTAATGGTTTTCTGAAATGCAGAGGATGTGCCAGCCTTGTATTGTGAAATGGTGTTGAAGGCAATACAGGATCGCTCTCTTTTCCCCCTCTGGCAATATTTTTGCTTTTTTGGTGGGGAGTTATACTGTACGTCTTGCACAAGTACGAAAGCTGTCTCAGGTTGGTGGTCCTTTTTTAAACTGGAAGGGTTTAAGTCTTCACAGACCTCATGGCTAATTGAAATACACTTGATGACATAACAAAGGTAAAAATTCAACTTCCGTATACTCTGAAATACTAATGATAAAAACTCTTTTTTTTTTTTACAGAAACATAATGTTTGAATATACCCCACTTGTTCCTCTGTAATCTAGTGATCGCCTTAAACACAGTAGAGAGGTGGCCAGCCCTGGTCCTGCACAGCCAAAACAAACCCAGCAGGTCTTGCAGGCTGTTCATGCCTTGGAAAGGCTTGGAACACGTGTGCTGTAAGGGTTGTCCGATTTAGTAATTAAAGTAATTAAGTTAAGTCAAGAATGGCCAGCTGTGGTATTTTAGAGTTGTTGGCAAATTTAATTAAAAACAAATTTCTAAACTGCTCAGTGGTACAAAGCACATGCTAAAGTAGTTAAAACAGAACCTCCAAGTGTTAAGAAATTATCTGTTAATTAATTGTAAGTGTAATGAATTAATTGTAATATTAATTAATTATTTGAGGGTGACCTCCCTAAAACCTCCCAGATTGTGCCTCTCCATGAAGAAAATTGTTGAGCAAGGAGATGACCAAATTATTAAAGATGAAAAAAAGTAGTGGATAACTGCTAATAATTACTAATTACTGTACTTACTATGGAGAATAAGGTGATCTCTATTGCTTGGAGGAGTACTGTAAATTACTGAAAAACTGGTGTTTAATACAAGACTAATAAATCATCCTGACCATGGCCCCTAAATGTAAATTACAGGTCCTACTACTAAAAGAAAAATGCTTGGTAACAGTTACAATATTAATAATTCCTTACATCACCTTTAAATGATGCTTTTTATTCTGAAGCACTCTAAGTGGTTTACATACTGCCTGGTGGGGACTCACTTCCCCCACCTGGCCGACACACTGTGGCCCCCCTGCACAGCAGGCCTGGCGCCGGAGTGAGAAATCACTTCACCAGCAGAGCTGAGGTGGAATTTAAGGAAGGCCAGATTGTACACGCCCTGACAGGACTGTAGCCAGGACGCTGGGGTTAACGCAACTGCATGGATCTTTCCCTGGACAAGAACCCTGGGACCCCTGGATTAAAGTCTCTTCTGAAGGACAGTACCCCGACAGCGGTGTGTCCCCTGTCTCCATGCTGGGACATTGGGTTGGAAATGCTGGCCCAGAAGGAAGAGCGCCACCTACTGGGCCACTACCTCCACCAGGACTGGTCTCCCACCCAAGTCCCCACCAGGCCCAGTATTGCCAAGTTCCCAAGATCTGATGAAGTCAGGCTGCAAGGTAGCAAAATAAAATCCTTGTCTCACCACATTATTTCCTTAATTGACAGAGGTTACAGAGTAAATATAATCAGGGATTTCACAGTACTTCAGTCAACATGTAAAATCCGTAGCTAAAACATTTGGGATTTTGTGAAACCTCTAACTTCATGTTCTTCTTTTAATGATTATGGCTTATAGATCATTTGAAAATAGTGCACTGGGAAAAACCTATTTTTTAAAAGACCAAGAAATACTTGCCATCTGCCATATCACCCTGCAACTCACAACTGGCAGCCCACTGAAGCTCAGCAGGTGTGAGCCTGGTCAGTACCAGGAGACCTCCTGGGGAAAAACTAAGGTTGCTGCTGGAAGAGGTGTTAGTGGGGCCAGCAGGGGGCGCTCACCCTGTGGTCTGTGTGGGTCCGAATGCCCCAGCATAGTGATGGGGACAATATACTGTCCTTCTGATGAGTCAATAAAGTGAGGTCCTGACTGTCAGTGGTCATTACAAAATCCCAGGGTGTTTCTCATAAAGAGTAGTGGTGTAACCCCAGTATCCTTTGCCAAATTTCCCATTGGGACTTACTTATAATGGCCTCCTAATAATCCCATCTATGAACTGGCTTCATTACTCTGTTCTCCTCCCCACTAAGAACTGGTGTGTGGAGAGTGTACTGGTGCATCATCCAGGTTGGGCTGCACACTGGTGGTGGAGGAGAGTCCCCATTACCTGTAAAGCACTTTGAGTGGAGTGTCCAGAAAAGTGCTATATAAGTGTAAGGAATCATTATTATTGTTATTTAGTCTTGGTGATGACTGTCGAAAAGGATGAAAAAACAAAGTAAACACTATCAGGCACAGAATAATTGAACAATGATTACTCTGAAGCTTAACATAGTCCTGGGTGAAGCTGAAGTTCCATCCTTTACAAAAAGCAAAATGCTGGTTTGTAGATCTGTGCATTTCTATAAGGCTGAAGAAATCTTTGCTATACCTGTTCTGGTAACAATATTTTCTGGGGGAAAAGCACTCAGCTGTACTAAATGAAAACGACCTGGAGGGCTTTTGTATTTCCTATGTCACTACTGTATATCACTGTGTCACCATGTCACCATGTCACTAATGTCCCAGTGACCGGCTGTATTCAATGCAAGCTCTATTGTCCCCTGGGGAAAATCTGTTTTGTGGCCGAGTCCAACTCAACAAAAACAAACATCGCCAACAAAATCCAGGACAACATTTCAGGGGATAAAAAGAAACATTTATTAGTGTATTCCTTTCTTCCTGAAAACAGGTGTATTTCTTTTTTTAAAAAGCAGCAGAAGGTTATAGTAGTGAATAAATGCAAGGATCAACTTGTAATATAGTGTGTTTGTGAAGTTGCATCATGCAGCTAACCCAGTAAAACAAGCCTGGGAAGGCTGGTGTTGGACAGAAATAAAAGCCTCAGACACTGAATTTGAGGCTTTTGTTGACTGAATCTGGCTTAAGTGGGGGAAAAAGTGAGAACATGCTGGGCAAAGAACAGTGAGACAAATGTCATTTGCCTAGTGGCAGTAGCAATGACTGTGTCACTGCAGACAGGTGGCCTGTTCCTGACGGGCTTACATCTCTCCTCTCCCCAAGTCCCCCAGTCTTGTTTGTCTTCAGCTTGTCCTCATTATAGAATAGTGGTTTTGCGTTCAAATTCAGGAAAGGACGCCCCAGTTGTACCCTCGGTAAAGGAACCGCATCTCACCTGCTGTATCGTTTGTGTAAATGAGAATTGGCTCTCGGTATTTAACTTCACCCGTTAAATAAAGGATAGCATCACATCATTCGCGATTCTTTGTCTAAAGCAATTGGAAACTTGAAAAGATTACGATTGCTGGTGACGAAATCTACATTGCGACTTTCCCGGAGCAGTCAGTGCACTTGGCTGATTGTGTTTTAATGACAAGACCTACTTTAATAAACTGTCTCCAACAAGAACGGCTGTTGCATAACTCTGCATGCAGCCGGAGTCTGGAGAGGAATGCGGGTGGTGGGGGTAGCGCGTACGACCTGGCGAGACGAGATCTTATTATTGCTTCCAGAAATAATAGCCAAGGCTGTTTATACGCGGGGTACTGTACAGTATACAGCTGTCCCGAGTGGTTGATGTCTTAAACACACGACGCTCTTCTATGCATACTATTGTTTTTGCAGGAGAAAGTTGATTTCTTATTCAGAGAGAAGTCATCCCAAGAATCAAATCAAGATAATGTCAGAACACGCATTTACAAAGCATCTTTCATATCTGCCTGGCTGCCCTTCACAATCAGCATAAGCTGTAGACAGGTGCATAGATACCGGCCACTGTTATTACGAGCTCGGTGTCTCCAGTAATTGCCCACAGGAACTTCAGGCACTTAAGCAGGACCAGATAAACGCTTTCGTTTCGGTGTCTACTTCCACTCCTCCTCTTGGACTGGAATGCTTTAATCATGAGCAAAGGAGAACGGGAGACTTTTAACTCTTGTAAATATTGCGCACGCCGCCTTTTCTTTGACAGCTACTGTACACATCTGTCTATCCGGTCCGGCGCTGCACTAATGGTTCGTGAACAGAAAGCCCGAAAAGTTGTGCTTCAATGTCCCTTTGACTAAGGCTAAGATAAACGCATGCACTGCAATATCAATCAAACTCAACTAAGTTATAAACTATACGAGTGCAGATTTTTTCTTTGCTTTAATGACCACTAATCAGAACGAATATGAGTTTGGTTTATTCTAATATCTTCCAGGATTAAAAAGCCGTAATTTTGTAAGGAATGGAAGCCCTCGGAGCTAAGGACGGTTCACGGTTAGTTGTCATAGCAATCCAGTGTTACCTTGACCGCAGCTGCTAACATGATCGCAGGTTCAGAGACCTTCCGAGCGCCTTACCTGATGATGACATACATGACCAGCACGTTGCCCACCAGTCCTACGACGCACACTATGGAATAGAGCGCTGTGATGATTATCGCGATGACCATGGGAGTCGAGCCCTTGTTCAGAGCGTCCGCCCTGTCACACTTTGACAGGTTGCCTTCCAGCAGTAACAGGTCGCTGAGGTTCCTGCAGAAATACGTGCCGTTCTGTAGCAGCGGGGAGGCAAGGTGATTCCCTGCTGCCGTGCCGTTGCCCGCACTCTCCATGATGGCACCGATCGATGAGGAAACCAATCGATCAATCAAGCGATCAATAAACGAATCAAGCTGGCAATTCGGGCTCGGAGCAGCTCAGCCGAAGAGTCTCTCTGTCTGTACCTCTGCGGGAAACGGCACTGCTTGGACTGTCGCTGCGCCCCTCCTGCACGCAGGACCCGTTGCCTCAACACGTGTGGCAGGTACTGTAGCTAGTCAGCTCTCTGGATCTGCCGCCTGATTTGCAAATACTGTCGATCCTGTAGACACGCGTCTGGAGAGCCCGTAGTGTAACGTACAGCTGAAGCCGATCACTTTCACGTCGCGTTTTCTCGTTTTATCAAGCCACGTTACGTCACTTTATAAACCACATGACCACCCGACAGCCTTAAAAAAAAGGAATCTTGGTTTGAATTGATTATCAGCTGGAGAGTTTGTATTACGTCGATTTAAAAAACAGCCCCCAAGCAGATCATGCTGCGCTATCTGCTTTGCACCACGTACAGTAACAGCATCCCCACCACGGCCAAAAAATAATCCTTCTTTAAATCGGACGCCTGTTTGTGTGTAGGTTTTTGAAGCCTTTAATAATAATAATAATAATAATAATAATAATAATAATAATAATAATAATCATCACATTTATTAATACGTGTTACAAAAATCAAAAACAAAAAATACCTGGGGTTAATCAGGTTCTGAAATCAATTCCGTGTGTCTTTGGTTCTAGCGCAGTTTTGTGTTTATACAGTAAGAGTTACATTGGTGTTGTACATACTGTAGAGTTGTATTGCGCCTCAGTATTGAACTCAGATAGGAATGCTAGGTTTTGTCTCATGAGAGAAACTATGTTCATTGCACTTATCCACCCATTTGTAAAAATTCGCTTGTTCTTGTTATGGGTTTATTTTCATATGGATTTAATAGGCTGTTACTGATAATTCTTTCAAGAAATTGTTAAATCTAACGTTACTAAGACTTTAACATCCTCCTCCAAAAACACCTTTACATTACCCAATATTGTGTTAGAATTTGCAAATCACAAGGCTTGAGATGTCTCACATAATACGCTCGTCTCGGAGTGTGATTGATGACGCAATTAAAACATTCTGAATATTTAAACCCTCCGATGCCATTCCTTGGAACCGGATCCATTGTTTATATATTTTCGATGAAGGAAGTCCTGCAAAAAAAATCTATAGAAGGTATTTATAGAAGAACCCCAATAAAACGTGTGGAAATGTTTGTCTAGAGCACTCTGTGGCGAGATCTGAAACAAAGAAACTGAAACCTTTAAAAGGAAAAGGAATACTGAAGTTATATTGCGACTTCTTTTTATCTTTTTTTAAAGTGCAAAATCATCCATCCATTTTCGAATCCAGTCATCCAGTGCAAGGTTGCATGGGTAGCCGGAGCAAGGTGGGATACCCCCTGGGTAGGACACCACTCCATGGCAGGGCACGATAAAGACACAAACACACGCTCACACCAAGTGCCAGTTTACCTACCGACATGTCTTTGGACTGTGGAAGAAAACCAGAGCAGCTGGAGGAAACCAACAGGCACACAGGGAGAACATGCAAACTCTGCACAGATAGCACCCCAGAAACTGAGATGTCAGCAAAACCTGCAAAGTAAATACACAAAGTGCAATGTACAGTATTGATTGCGTTAAGTATTCTGCCACCTAAGGCTCATTTGGCAGCAACGATTTCTGTCAGTATTTTTGGGTAGGTCTCCATCACTTTGCATGGTTGGATGGTGCAATTGTGTTCAGTCATCCTAGCACATTCTTTAAAGGGGATCGCTGATGGACTGCAATCGTCAACAGCCATTTTCTACGGGATTCAAGTTGGGCTCGAACCTGAGACTGAAGCTGAAGTCCTTGAGTCAGAACTGATCAAGGCATTCACACCCCAGCTGAGCTGAGATAAGAGGGCTGTCCTTTTAATCACTCAAAGGACCGTGGCAAAAAAAGAGGATTCCAGAGGGGGTCCCATGTAGGAAGAAAAAGAGAGAAAACCATCTTACCTATGAAAAGAGCTTGTAAGCTGATGAGCTGCATTCTTGTTAGTGGTAGTATTGACAGTGTAGTCAGTGAACATCTCCTGTATCACCAGGGTTAAAGATCCATTTCATAAGCTCAAGAATTGAGACCATATCTGGCAAAGAGTGAGGACTACTTACTGTGAGCCTGCTGAGCGATAGACAGGCTATCAGTACTGAAGAGTCTGCTTATTCATTGGTATGAAAGAGCAGAACAAACAAGCCAAAAATCAGCCGAGCTCGGAGTGAGAATCCAAACGAGCAGCTTCAGGACAGCAGCCGGGCCTCTTCACCGCTTCGGCAGGGCGCTGAGATCTGAGTGCTATTGGCAACGCCGGGGCTCTGCTGAGGGGAGTGAAGAGACCAGAGCTGGGCTCACATGTGGGCTGGGAGGAAATCGGCAAGAGGTACTTCAACATCAGTAGAAACCTGATCTCCAGTAGCGAAGAGAAATTAAGGCTGTTGCAGTAATATATAAGGACTTCAAGCATATGAGCCCTTTAATTCCAGGATGCCTTCTAACACCCTTTCTTCGAAATAGTAGCTTGATTCAGAAGCAGCTGAATCAAGAAACAGGTCTATTTCTAAATGCTGTTTTTGTTTCGGATCATCTGATCTACCGATTTCAGGTGTAGTGCCACTATTTCCCCACACCAGTTTGCATCGGGCATTCTGCGACTTGCGATATTTTATAATAAGGTGTTTTCACAGTGTTTCTTTTCCCCTGCCTTTTAAAATATTTATCTCTTTCAAGACATGTCATCCCAAGAATCAAATCAAGGTGGCCAAGCTCCTGACGACCTCAGATTTACCACCTCCCATCAGCTCAGGTGTGTGCTGCAAGCCCCCACCTGCCCAGGAGAAGACAGAGGGTATGCCAGCACTTCATCGTCTTCTTTTCACACTGTGCGCCCACACAGACACAGCAGCACCCACTGGGAGCTGATATGGAAATCATGCACCACAATATTGACAACATTGGAAAGTAAATGTGTGTAATAGCGCAGAAACAAATTAATCAAAGAATCGTAAGTCTGCACTGAATGATCCTGAAACAATTTTATTTGTCGAGCCACTATGCATTAATCCTGATGTCCAGTTATAGGCATAATCAAACATGATCAGAATTTGTATTCCTATCTAACAACAACAAAATAGTCAATGCATTCATACAAATGAAGACAATATGGAATTTCTTTAGCTCAAAATCATCCATAATTTTTGCAGTGATTATGACCCTGAGTGAATAGCAGTGTTATTAATGTTGCACTAACAGCAAGCGAGTTTTTACTTCTCATACTGCCATAAACAACGAACTGCTGTTTATAGTTCATCTGAATTGCAAGAAAAACAACATTTACAGCCAGAGATTCAGACTCCGAATAATATCAAGTTGATTCTTTGACAGTTCAAGAAGTAATGAATTTGCTATTTATAAAGTAACAATAATAGTAACAACAATATGTAACAATTATGGCCGTTCTGCAAATGATGATAAAAGACCACAGCCTGGATGTCATCAAAACATTAGGCCTGCAAATGACATACTGCACACTTTTCAGCAGATGTCCAGTCAGTGATGCCTGTCTTAAACATGTGAAAGACTTGAGGTTTCGATGGAGTTTGCACAAAGGTTTAATGACAGTTGTTCAGTGTATTTTCTCATTAAAGTGCATCACAGGCAGCTATAGAGCCAGAGCTCATGAGGTTACAGTTTGGATGATCTAATGTGTACACACTGATAGCAAAGCAGCACAACACAGCTAGCTTTACAGCTTTGCAATCAGGCAGAGCTGAGGTTTCAGCAACCACAGAACAGGGTTTGAGAACTCAAATGCAATCTTGACCTTTCCATTTTTCTTTCATATTTATTGTCTATTTACAGTACATATTTTAGTTTTGTGCTTTGAATGTGTGGAGTGTGTTGTGTGCTGTATAGTACCAAGTATCATAACTGCAAGCAAAATGTGAAAATGTGAAAACAATCTGAATATTTTTGCAACATATATACTGTATATGGTTAAATAATCAGGTGTCAGATCATAGTTTTTTAAGTTTTCTGTGTTAATTTCCTATGTAGGAGCTTAGCATTGTGCAGTCATTCCAAAGAGAGCTGATTAGGGGACCACATGTGGCAGATTTTAAGAATAGTGCTGTTACCAAGGATTCTATTCTTGTTTTCCACTAATTCACTCATCCACCTGGCCCTGATGAGTCATTATACAGTATATCCAGCTACAGGTATGGTCCAGACATAACTGCAATATTATTACTAACAGTTCAGGCCTGTCTAAATAGAGCATGCTTGGATTCTGACTTGCATCCCAATCAGAACGGGTAATTTCTTTCCTCTTTCTGTTTCCTTATCAGCCTCTGGCATTAGGATTTATTGCTGGAAAATTAACCAAGCTTGAGATCTCAGCCAATATACTGATTCGAGTTAGTGAACCTGAAAATTAAACTTTTATTTTTTTTTTCTCAAAAATTAGAATGTGCATTTGTGGTCTGTGATTAGCAAACATAACTTCACGCTGATAGCTTTCTTGTGAAATTGGATTGCGATGCTGTCATAATTCACACATTCGATTTTCTTTGGAACGAATGTGATTTTGTCAGACTACTTTCTATTCACAGGCCTCAAAGGGCTTTAAAAGTGATATTCTGCATCTTCAGTTATTTACCTTTTGGTGGGATATGGCAATACAAAAACACTGACATTACAAGCGTAACAAAAATGTGTCTTAGTTGTTAAAGACGAACTGCAACGCAATATGTATATTTCGGGGTTAGAAAGAATCAGCATTAATAAGTGCATTTCAAACCACAATAAACGTAGAATGTGCACAGTAACTTGTTAAACCCCCTATTTACATCACAAAATAAACTAAATTTCCAGGTATGTGCAGTGCCACAGCAGATAACAAAATGTCCTGTGAGGTGAAGCGGCCTTTTACATTGTAAAGAAGAAGGCTTGGGAATACATCTCTTTTAATCCAATTATTGCTCTCACCTTCCAGATGGTTTTGACGACAAATACTACTTACTTGTTAACTATGCATACGGATCACGTTGGAATATTTCTGCGGTGAAATGTGTGCTGCACAACCTGTACTCTACATCGCATTACATTAGTCATTACAGTGACTAGTGAGCAGGAAGGGCAGCATCGTCACAGTTCATGGGAACTCGAATGCGAGTTTGTGACAACATCACAACTTACAGTACCTTCACAAATTTTACAATATTGTGCTTAATTTGAAATTTGTTACATTTTTCTATAACATCAATGAATTTATTTTTTTTCCGAGATTTAATAACTGGTCAGAGAGACTGCAGTTCCCCTTTAACTCTCTCATCAGCGCTGTAAAGCGTTTTCATTATCCAGCTGTGTGACAAAATCCTACAAACACAGTACAAAGTACAAGCCTGCTGCGCCCTGCCCAGAAAAACTGGCATTGGTCTGAGTGGAGCTCAAGGCATTAACATACAGTAGGCGTGTCCAGCCACTTTGTACACACACAGCTCGTTAGTCAGTGTGACTCTTATTGCAAGAAAACATGAGCCAAAGAACCCTCATTATGTTGAACATGCCTTTACTAGACACTGGGGAATGGAGTGCAAACGGAAAATAAGAATTAGAGTGGGGAGCTTTGTCTGTGTGCATGCTGTAAAGGAAAAAGCAGAGCTTAATTCTACTCTAAAAGGTATAATGAGGACAAGAGGCAACGTCTCTTCTGGAGAGTGGGGGAAAGAGGGCAAGAGTGGGGATGACCAGAGAATGAAGACGTGGGAATGCGTAGAGGGTGGGAGGGAAAAGGTACTTAAGAGAGGAAAATCTGGGCAAAAATTCCAGGGGAAGGTTAGAAGCCAGCATATGGACATGCTGATTCAACAGGCTGACCAGGCAGCAAGGTCAGGAGATGGAAGAAGGGGAGTATGGGCTCTCCGGTCCTCACTGCTCTGACATGTGCAATGTAATGGCATGTTTCCTGGGTTACAGGGTCATTCTGTTTGACGATGAAGGGATATTGAAGTGGATGAGGAAGACAGCGTGATAAGCTTCCGGCTGCAGGAATTCCTCTTGGCATTGGTGTTCTGAGGCCCCGTCTTCATTGTGTGAGGTTTTTAATGCTATGTGAAGGTAGCCACTGTTAATGTTAATTAAACCAAAGAATGACTATAAACCTTTGGATCAAGAATTATTCATTCTGCACCGCTGTTGCCAACGCTTCCTAAAAAGAACACATGAAAGCAACAGGGATTTCTGCTTCTGGTTTCATTTAAAACACAGTGATCTGGATTTAAGTTCTCTGTGTGGAAGCAGGATTTACACAAAAAGTCTGAGGCACTTTCAAAAGAATGAAATTCTGAATTTACTGTAATTACTCCATAGAACTAATCCCAATCTTAAACTTATTGATTTCGCTTCTTTACTCTGTCCCTTGGGTATTCTGCTTCATTCTGTGGGACTGTGGAGATTTCCAAGAGATTAATCTTAAATTATCTTTTAGGCTGAAATTTAAATAAACCCTTGAAGACAGCAGTTCTGCCACCACAAGCTGTATGATTCAGTGAGCAGGAAGATTTGAAACAAAAACGAGCTTCAGGTTGTTTTACTCTATTAATGCCAGGCTGCTGTTTCAGCTGGTAGAAGAAAAAGAAAATCTTTTATTATTAAATGACACAGAATGACAGAGCTTTGTGCCTTCTTCAGAATGTCAGACTGCTAGTCCCGCTGTGATTCACTGAAACTATTGAATAAACTTTTATGTTTCAGTGAGCTGGTGACACCAGAAATCTGATTTGTCTACAGGACGGAGTGAAGGGAGCTTCACAAACAATCCAATGGCACATAAATCAGCACCTAGTGAGTGGAAATGAAAAAGGACCCCCTGGGAACAAAGCCACTGGCCACCTGGAAGAATGAGAAAGAAAAGGGAACAGTGTGTAATACATATTTATCACACATCACTACTGTAAAAAATAGTCACAATATCTACGGAGAGTGATGCTCATTTATCTTCGGAGTCAGCAGCTAGGAAAATGCTGACTATACAGAACAACTGAGGAAGCTGGAAACCTGCATCAGGAAAGCCATGTCTAAAACCGCCAACAGCTAAAAACCCGGAAACGATCATCCTGCCAGCATTGTAGGCATTGTGTTACATTAGTAGAGGAAAAACCGCTTAAACCTATTGATTTTATTATTAAGCCAAAGCAAAAAAAATCAAGAGAAAACAATCAGATACCATATCATGTAATTATAACATTCACTGTATTCGCTGTAAGCTTCCATTTCAGACCCAAGGCCTTGAAAGCAGTGGGTTGTTCAACAGATGGTTTAGCTGCTCTACGTGGTGGCATTCATACATTCCAGTTTACCTTTATCATTGAACTTATTTATAGCCTTAGTTTTGGACTTAATTTTAACAGCAAATTGGCTGTTGTTCCCCCATGCACTCTCTTTGGTATCCCTGCCTCTCAGAGTTGCCCTTGAGAGAGAGAGAGAATATGTAAGCAACAAGTGTTGAGAACAGACATTGCAATGAGGAGAGAAATTGAGACTCAGTTTGAAATAAAAGCCTAATGTCCTCAGCTTCTCCCTCAGAGAGCCACAGTTCAGCTTCCCGAACAACCGGGAATATACTGTAGTTGGTAACGGCAACACATGTTTCAGAAGGCAGGCTGACAGTGCTCCTGTTTCTCAGTACACAGTCATTACTTCTCTAACAGAAGGGCAGTCTTCACACAATAAACAAATTTAAAGCTGAGTTTGCAATACGAGTTTCCACAATAATACATTTTATTGCATACAGAATATTAACTACTGAACTGAGTACTTGGGAGTTATTTTTTTTTAAAGATTTACTGGAACATAACCCCTCTTGCTGGAGGAAGAGCTAGTGTAGGTTCTGACGATGCCTTCTTGATATAGTCCACAATAAATCTGTCCCACATGCTCTTCACAAATGTACATTGAATTCAAAGTGCTTGGGCACTGGGCAGCAATGTTCCCTCTAATTTTTAATGGGCTGTGTGCACATAAATTTCAAGTTATGCAAATTTTTACACTTGTATACACTAAATTGAGTGTATGTGAAATTGTAATCCTGAAATTATTTTTTGTTAATATAGTCATCCTCATAGAAGCATAGAGACTCAAAAGACCAGGACAGCAATTCAACGAGCCCAGTCATAGAGACTGAGTGCAGAGCAAGCATGAGCATGGAGGTACGAGACTACAAGAGCATAGATGTCAATGATCGAGTAGCAATAATTGTCAGGGAACCTATTGGTAGAATAGGAGGACCCTTATGCATGACTGTGAATCCCACAGAACACAGAGCAGCAAAGGGACAATCCAAAAGACAAAATCCAGAGGCTTGGTCAAAAGGCAGGAGCAAAGATTTAGTAACAGAAGAGCAGTGATCATGCACATACAGTAGGGGGGAATACTACAAGAGGCTTCTCAATAGAAAGCATGGAGAGGTGTGTGAGGGGAGTTTAAATACTGAAAGGAAAGGGATGTGGTTGGATAATTGGTTAGGGAGTGAGAATTTGAGGAATCTGGTGCATGTGGGAATGTGATGGGTTCAATTAGGAATGTGATTGTGAAACAGTGGTTCTGGGAATGCAATGCTGTTTGCGAGGGAGAGTGTGGGGCGTGACAATAATAATGCACACAGCCAAGTTGGACCTCTCTCAGCCAGTCTCATGTGGTCAATTTAGCATTTTTCAACTGACGACCGTGTATGTTTTATTATTATAATTTTTTTGTATTTAATTTTTTGTGCACAGTTCAATTTCTTATGTGCGCTGATTTCATATCCTGTGTGCGCCCGCGCACACACGCAAAGCTTAGAGGGAACGTAGAGGGGCAGGTGAAAAGTACCTATATTTCTCTATGCATCAAGAAAACAGGCAGGAAAACATCCAGACTTTACTGAGGGAAGAAAAGGGGATTCAATTTATTTAGCTGTGCATTTATATAACATGACAACTGAAGGTACCTTCAAAACCTCTCTCTGCAACTTCTGTGACTGCACCGAAGCGAAGTTTAAACTCATCTTCAATTAAGGAAAAGGAAATGTGCTAGAGGGGATGGATATTTATCATTTTCAGAACAGGAGAAGATGGAAATCACTGCAACTATGTACGGTTCAGTTCACGTGTAGTTACTTCTATACATGACCTGAACATACAGTCTGTCAAGAAAATGCTTCCTGGTGGGTGTATTCTTATTAGAAACTACTGGCCATTTGTAAGCATGAATTGCAATATAGAACTGCTATTAGTAGCAAGGGAATTTGACTGTTTCCATGGAAATCCTGACAGCCTAGCAACAGTTCCAAGGTCTGTGAATCCACAAAGTAGAAACATCCCGAAAGATAAAAAGATAACATTAGATACACACTCAAAATTAACAAAAAAGGAATGAGGCATGTAATGGCGTTTTT